ATCCCAACGGGAGCTGGAGCTCTGCTGAGTGTGTGACAGCCTTGCCAAGCTCAAACTGCCACTGCCTAGGACTGATGGGGACACGGGAGCTGAGCTGGGCTAGGCTGGGCCGGGCTGGGCTGGGCTGAGCTGGGCTGAGCCTCTGGCTGCTCTAGGCCACTGCCAGGGAAAGCACCCTGAGTGTAAAAGCAAAGAGAGGTGCAGGGGGAAGCCCCTGCTGTGCTCCAGTCCTGACCTCACGCCCGCCCAACCTCTGTGGCACCCAACTAATCCCTGTGCTTATTCCTTCCCTCCTCCCTGGCTCAGAAGAGGAAGAATGGATAGAGGAAGATGACGGTAGTTATTGCACCTTTCATTATTTCCTCTCTCTGCTCTCGGGAGAACTCCTGGCTCCATGTGTTCTGCCTCTCCCTGGTTGGGGAATGGTTTTCTTTCATTCTTCCACTTCTCTCTCTTCTTCCTGCACTCCTGCCGTGCCCTGCTCTGCTGTGTGTCCATCCTCTGTCTGTGCCTTGTCTCTATATCTGCAGCCGTGGTTTGCTGTCTTTGCTGTCATCTTTTCCTTCCCCTCTGCGTGGCCGTGGCCCCGCGGGTGTTCCCAGGGCACGGCATCGCTCTGGCTCTGCCGGGGAATCCCGCGGGGACGCTGCTCCCTCCAGTGGAAAAAGGCTCCAGCAGCGCCACAGAGCATCCTCAGCCAGCCCTGGGGCTCCCTGCCAGAGCAGAGCCATGGGGATCCCTCCTTCCTTCCTGGGCTGTGGGGGACCGACAGCGTGAGAGGGGATGAGGGACAAGGCAGGAGGTGGCGACAAATCCTCGCATTTCATTAATTTGGGGGGTTTTGCCCTGAGGAGCACAGGCAGCCCTGGGTAGGGTTAGAGAGGAGCCCTTTGCTCCCCAGGCACTGAGGCTGCCCAGGTCCCTCTGGGCTCTGTCCCAAAGCAGGAGAGATGTGAGGAGCAACAGGGATAAACGTGAGGAGCTGCAGGGATAAATGTGAGGAGCAGCAGTGATAAACATGAGGAGCAACAGGGATGAATATGAGGAGCAACAGGGATGAATGTGAGGAGCAGCAGGGATAAACGTGAGGAGCTGCAGGGATAAATGTGAGGAGCTGCAGGGATGGATGTGAGGAGCTGCAGGAGCTGCAAGGATAAGGCTGAGGAGCTGCAGGGATAAGGGTGAGGAGCTGCAGGAGCCAGGGAATGCTGCTGTGCTCACTCTGCCGTCCCTGCACAGGTCAGGAGGAGCAAGTAGAGGAGGTGGAGGAGGAGACCACAGAAGCCAAGGCAGAAGGTGAGTGGGGGCCGTGCCAGGAGCTCCATGGCTTGGCTGGGCCATGCTCTGCTCCAGGGGCTGAGAGGGAGACATCACCCAGATGGGGTGTGCAGTAAGGGGGTGTCAAACTGAGATGCCCTTCCCTGCTCTGTCTAGGCCCTACAAACATGAAATGGTGATGAAATCCATGAAATACAAATGGTGTTTGCTGCTGGTGCCTGTGTCCAGCCCTCTGAAATAATGCCAAAAATGGGCCAAGCCTGGCTCACCAAGGGGTCCATTGCCTTAGAGGGGGTATCCAGAGCTGGGATTGAGCTCTGATGTGTCTGATCACCAAAAGAGCCCTGGGTTCATGAGGTGGCTTTGGGGCATGGTGTGTGACCCTGTGCTGTCCCCTCTGCTGGGGCAGGCTCAGATCCTGGCTGTAGCCCCAAGTCAGGGTGCTGGGGCCCCTCTGTGCTGGGGTGTGGCTGCCCTCACCCAGGGATGCTCATGTTCTCCCATTGCTTTTAAACAGAGCAAGAAGATGAAACGAAAGCAGCAGGAGAAGGTAAAGCAGGAGCAGAGGAGAGATGGGTTTGGCCATTCCAGTCCTGATCCCATTCCCCTCAGACACTGGGCCCTTGTAATGAGGTTTTGGTGCTGAATTTACTTGCTGCCAAAGGGACAATCTGTGGTAAAAGGGGCAGAGCTGCCCTGGCCACATCCCCCAGAAAGACAGGGGCAGCAGGAGGGATGGATTTGTGCTGCCTCTGGCAGAAATTCACCCAAAATACAGCAGGAGAGGGAGGCACTGCTGCTTTTCCAGCCTGAGCTCCTGCACAACTTGTCTGGGTTCCTCCTGAGAGCACCTGGGGCTCTCCTGGCCCCCTGTGAGTGAGGCGTGTGAGTGAGGTGTGTCTCTCAAAGGCTGCTGTCCCCCCATTCATCCTGCAGGGATGGAGCTGGGCTTTGCAGTGGGGACAAGCACGGGAAAGAGGGGGACAGCCCCCCACAGTGTCCCTGGGCAGCACTGGCCACGGGGACACAAAGCATCGTGTTGTCCACAGGTGGAGAGGGAGAGCGGGAGCAGGAGCCTGGGGAAGGTGAAGTATCACCCTCATTCCTCCTGCATGGGGTTCCAGCTGTGCCCTGCTCAGCCAGCAGCACCTGGGGCACACCTGGGGCACAGGGCTGGCACCTCGCTGCTGTGGGGAGAGGGAGGGCTGGGCTCAGGGTGTGACAGGAACCCTCGGTGACACTGACCTTGTCTTTCTGTGCTGCTCCTGGGACCTGCAGGGGAATCGAAGCCAAAACCCAAGTAAGTGTGGCAGGGTGTCCCTGGGGCAAGGTCTGAGCTATGCCAGGGCAGAGGCTCCGTGTGACAGCCCTGGTCCATAAGGGACAGGGCACAGGGAGCCTCCGGGGCAGGGTGGGAATGGGGCATGGAGAGAAAAGGGAGAGAAATGACAGCAAAACACAGCCCGTGAAGGGAACCCTGAGAACGAGGTCTTTAGGCAGTTCTGAAGCATTTTGTACATTCCTTGGGAGAAGCTCAGCTGCCCTGTGACCCTGCAGGTGGCAGAAGTGTGTGTGTGTGTGAGAGAGAGAGAGCACCCAGAGTGGGACACAGAGCCCAGGATATGGCTGGCATGAGGCACATGTGTCCAGGAGTGCCAGGGACTCACCCCGAGGGAGCAGGACTGTGAACCATTGCCAGAAACCTGGGGGTCCTCCTGGGCCCCTGGGACTCTGCAGTGTGGGAGGCAGATCTGCCCTCAGCCACCATCATCCCTTCATCCCTTTGTGCCCCTGCTGGGCATCCCCTGCCCTCCCTCACACCCCACAGGAGGAAGGATCCAGCTGTGCCAGGTCACACAGAGCACACAGTGCCCTTTGTGGGGACAGGGGGTGGCTGCCAGCTCAGGGGGCTGGCAAAGGGCCCTGTCTGCAGCTTGCAGGGTTATTCCAGCCATGCAGGCACCTGGGAGCATTTCCAGGGAATGCCACAGTTCTTTCTCTGTGGCTGCCCAGCTGGCACCTCCAGCAGGATGCACTGCACTCCCTCACCTCCAGCTGTGCCCCCCTGCACCCCGGGGGCTCAGGGGGTGGGATGGGTAAGGGGCACGGGCTGTCCCAGACCTGCTGCAGCCCCATCGTGCTCCGGCTCCCCCTCCTCTGCAGGGTCTTCATGCCCAACCTGGTGCCCCCCAAGATCCCAGATGGCGAGAGACTGGATTTTGATGTAAGTTATGGCCCAGTTCCCACCCCTGGGGGTGCTGCCCTCCCTCTGCTCCCCCTCAGTGCCCGGCAGCTGCTGGAGCCCTGGCTGTCTGTGCCTGCTGCAGGACATTCACCGCAAGCGCATGGAGAAGGACCTGAACGAGCTGCAGGCCCTCATCGAAGCCCACTTTGAGAGCAGGAAGAAGGAGGAAGAGGAGCTGCTGTCCCTCAAGGACAGGATTGTACGTGTTCAGCCTTCCCCTCTCTGGCTATTGCCACCTGGTCCTGTGGGCACTCAGCCACTGTCCCCTCCCCACAGTGCTGGCACACCTGGGACACCGCTGACCCTGCAGGACAGAGCCTGAGGGTTGAACCAGATTTTTATTAACCCCAGTGCCTGCACACCATAAAATTCCCTGAGCTGGAAGGGACCCATAGGGATCACTGAGTCCAACCCCTGCACAGACCCCCCAACAATCCCACCTTGGGCATCCCTGGCAGCGCTGCCCAAACACTCCTGGAGCTCTGGCAGCCTCGGGGCTGTGCCCATTCCCTGGGGAGCCTGGGCAGTGCCAGCACCCTCTGGGGAAGAGCCTTTCCTGCTCTCCAGGCTGACCCTGCCCTGGCCCAGCTCCAGCCCTTCCCTTCCTGTCCCTGCTCGCTGGGATGCCCCCGGTGGTGCTGCGGTGCCCGGTGCCGATGCACCTCTCCCCGGGTCACTGTGCCCAGGCTCCCCTGGGGCTCTCAGGGCTCTCGGGGTCAGGGCTCTGTCCCTGGGAGCAGAGAAGATGCAGATTTCCGGCGGTGTCCAAGCCCAGGTGCCCTCCCCGTGCAGGAGCAGCGGCGAGCGGAGCGGGCGGAGCAGCAGCGGATCCGCAGCGAGCGGGAGAAGGAGCGCCAGGCCCGCATGGCCGTGAGTGCCCTCTGGAAATGGGGCCTGGGACACGAGCTGTGTGTCCATCCATCCACTGCTGACCGCCCTCTGACCCTGGCAGGAGGAAAGAGCCCGCAAGGAGGAAGAGGAGGCGCGGAAGAGGGCGGAGGAGGAGGCGCGGAAGAAGAAGGCGTTCTCCAACATGCTGCACTTTGGGGGATACATGCAGAAGGTGGGACCCTCCCCAGGGGCTGGGATGGAGCCACTGCTGCTCCTGGGGAGGGCTTGGCCATGGGCTGGCCTCATCCATGTGACACTGGGGGGTTTACAGGCAGGTGGGACAGGGAACTGTGCTTGGGTCAGGAGTAACCAGGCCAAAGTGAGCTCAGAGCTGCCCCGAGCTCAGCTCAGCTCTGCAGATGTGCAGCTCCAGCCTTGCCTCAGGGACAGGGATGGGGTCAGGGACAAGGTGTGTTGTCCACTGATGCCAAAATGTCCTCGAGGACCTCTTGTGCTTCTGGAGTCCCAAAAGCTGAGGGTGTTGCGTGCAGAACTGGGGATGGGGGAGAGCAAAGGCTGGGCAGACTTCCTTCTCTCCAGTGGAGTGATGGTTTCCTCAGTCAGAGAAAAAGGGTGGCAAGAAGCAAACAGAGCGGGAAAAGAAGAAAAAGATCCTCAGTGAGCGACGGAAGCCCCTGAACATCGACCACCTCAGTGAGGACAAGCTGAGGTGAGCACAGGCTGCAGGACGGACGGCCAGGACAGGAGCCTGGGCTGGGGACAGCTCCTGGGCTGGGGACAGCTCCTGGGCTGGGGACAGCTCCCTGGAGCTTCCAGCTGAGGAGGTGGCACAGCTGGGGATGGGCTGTGACACCCCGTGGGGGCACGGGTGCCAAGGCTGTGCAGGGCTACCATGGCCAGGCTGCGACTGATGGCATCAGCCATGAGAGGGAGCCAGGGTCACAGGGGTGTGATGTGTGTCCCCATATGTACTGACCTCCCCCGTGGCTCTTGTCCTGAACTCACTGCCTGGATAACACATCCCTGTCTGGGAGCCTCCTGAGCCCCATCCCCTGGAGCAGATGAGGGGTTGGCATCAGTGCCCCATCCCTGCTGAGCTCCTTGGGAGCCATAGCCCTTCCCTGCATTGTCCACAGCTGGCTCTTCCTGCAGGGACAAGGCCAAGGAGCTGTGGCAGAACATCCATGACCTGGAGGCTGAGAAATTTGACCTGCAGGAGAAGTTCAAGCGGCAGAAATATGAGGTGAGCCCCAGGGCCTCTGTGATTTGTCCACCCTCTGTGTTCCTGACTGGTCCTTGTGCTCCCCTGCCAGGGGATGAGCTGGGCTGTGCAAGTGATCTCCCAGCTCCTGGGGACGTGCATGGCACCACCACAGGGCAAATACATCACAGGCCAGGCAGGATGGAGCCCTGAGCAACCTGGGACTGTGGAAGGTGTCCCTGCCCATGGCAGGAGGTGGAATGAGATGGGCTTGAAGGTCCCTTCCAACCCCAACCATCCTGGGATTCTGGGATTCTCAACCCCACAGAAAAACTGCTGGGGAAAAGAGAGCAGTGATGCATCTTCAGCCAGCCTTGCCCCCACCTGGGGCTTCTTGTCAGACCTCACTGTCCACCTGCAGCTTTTTCTTGTCAGACCTCACCACCCACCATTTTTCTTGCAGATCAATGTTCTTCGAAACCGCATCAGTGACCACCAGAAAGTGTAAGTGGCTGCCCACCCCTCCTCAATCTCCTGCCCTTCCAGCTCCCCAGTTCCCTCCCTGTGGATCTCCCTTGCTAAACCACCTCCTCCCCTTCCCCCTCCTGCCTCTGCTCTTTCTGGTGCCCGGCATTCCTGGACCTGCAGGTCTGTCCCAGGATCTCAGTCCCTGCCCCTCTGCTCCTGATGGACCTCCATGGTCCCACTGTCACCAGCCCCCCCCTCCCCAGAGACCTTGGCAGGGGATGGGCCCCAGGGAGAACCCACCTCTGCATGGGAAGCTTTGTGTCCTCTGGGGTCCTTCCAGTCTCCAGCCACCCCCTCCCTGCAGGGGCTCTGCCCAGCACCTCAGGAAGCTGCTGGAGATGCCAGCTTGTCCAGCAGAGGAAGTCCTACGGGCTGTGGGATTTGTGCAGGCCCACAAGGCCATGGGAACTGTCCCTGTGCCCATGGCTCCTGCATGTAGGAACCCTTCATAGGAGGGTGGGAGAGGCTGTTTGACCCCTACTCCCAGGAGAACCCTGGTGCTCTCACATCCCCATCCCACTTCCCCCTCATGTGGGAGGTGCTCAGCCCACCCATGTGTCAGGGGCAGCAGCTCCCACCCACTTACACCAGATCTCTCTTCTCTCCTGCCCCACCATGGTGTGATCCTGCAGCAAAGGGTGAGTACAGGCATTTCTGAGGGCTGTGTGTGTCCCTGCACAGGAGTTTTGTGTGTGTGTCCCTGCACAGGTGCTGTGTGTGTGTGTGTGTGTGTGTGTGTGTGTGTGTGTGTGTGTGTCTGTCTGTCTGTCTGTCGGTCCCCCTGCACAGGAGCTGTGTCTGTCCCTGCACAGGAGCTCTGTGTGTGTGTCCCTGCACAAGTGCTGTGTGTGTGTGTGTGTGTGTTTGTGACCCTGCACAGGAGCTCTGTGTGTGTGTGTGTGTGTGTGTGTGTGTGTCCCTGCACAGGTGCTGTGTGTCCCTGCACAGGAGCTCTGTGTGTGTGTGTGTCTCTGTGTGTCCCACTCCATGTGTGTGGCAGGGACACCAGGACCCCAGGGCAGAAGCAGGGCTCAGGGATGAGGCAATCCCAAGGATTGGCAGCAAGAAATGCCCTTCACTGCCCTTCACTGCCCACCCAAACTCCTCCTCTGTGCTCCCCTGTGCTGGTTAAGGCGAGCCATGGGCTGGGTCCTGAAGGATCCTGCAGCTGCTTTTATCCCTCTGCAGCCACAGATGCAGCTTATCAATTCTTCTTGGAATGATTCCTGTGGGGTAGAAACATGGGAGAGAAATGGTGGGTCCTTAGAATCACCCGGCCACTGCATGAGCTTGTTCCCAGGGGATCCCAAGGCTCTTTGGATCAGGTCCCAAGGTTTACCTGGGGCCAGTGGAGACCCCAGGGCAGTTTCCAATGGGAAAAGGCTGCAGGACCACTGCCAGCACCCACCTCCTCCTCCCTGTGTCACTGATGCCTTTTTGCATGTGCTGTTCCTCTTCCCTTGCAGATCCAAGGGTGCCCGTGGGAAGACCATGGTGGGCAGCCGAAGGAAGTAGAGGCTCAGGGAGAGAGGAGCCTCAGGAGCTGCAGGGGCTGCACAGAGCCCTGGCTGCAGGAGTGGGGGTTCCAGGGGGCAGAGGCCTCAGGAGTGTCCCATTGCCACCCCCAGTGTTGTTGTGTCTGTAAATAAAGAGGTGCTGAGGGGTGCAGGTGTGCTCTCCATCCTGAGGCTCTGATCCAGGCTCAGCACAGCTCCAGGAGTTGCCCACCTGCTGCCCAGGCTGTGAGAGGTCACAGCAACCACCCAGGACCCCCCAAGCCAGTGTCCCTGTGCCTCCCAGCATCAGCTCAGCTACACTCCTTGGCAGTTTGGTGACACACCTCAGTGCCCTGAGCTGCTTTTCCTGCTGCACCTTGGGGAAATCCTCGTCACGGCCACTTCTGTACCAGAGCCCCACTGGCTCCTCTCTGGTCCCCTGTGGGACACCATGGACAGGGCACTGCTTCCAAGCCTCTTGGCCCATGGAATAGTCACTAACTCACCTTCCAGGCTATTTCCATTCCTATTTCCAGCTCTTGCTAAAGGCTCTGACCAGCTGTGTTTGCCTCCTCTGCATGTTCCTGACAGCATGCAAGGAAGCCTTGAGATAAAGCTGTGTGGGGAGGCCACTGCTCTGTGCTTCAGGGGCAGATCTCTCCCATCTGGCTGGGAATCCATAGCATGTCACACGTGTGCTGTCCCTGGGGACACATCACCTGCAGAACCCCCACTGTTTCTGGTGGATCTGGATCTGGTTTTGGATCTGGATCTGTAGCTGAACATGGACTGGCAGCCAGCCCAAGGCACCAGAGGCCTGGAGGGCTGTTTGCTGCCCTGTTATGGTATGACAGCCTGTCCCATGCTGTTGATAAAGCAAAATCCAGCATCCAAGGAGCCTTTCCCAGAGCAGTGGGGATGGGAGGATGCACAGGGTGGTGAATCTTGTCCCTTGGTGAGATGTTTTGTGTCCCCCTTGCTGAGGCTGCCTGTCCTCCCCATCCCTTGCCTGGTGATGTGGGGGTGTCCTGCAGGTTTCTCCCATGTGTTCCTGTTGGATGAGGATTTATTTTTCCCTACTTCAACATACATCACCAGATTTTGGGGAATAAGGCTCTGGGAAGCTCAGAATCAGTGAGGCACAAGTGGAGGACAACCAGTTCCCCACCACCTCCCTCCTCAGAACCGAGGTGTGGCAGGCAAAGGAGAGAGCTGTGACGGGTGGCATTGCTGGGACACTGGGAAACATCCACAGGGTGGCTGGGTGATGGTCCAGCAAGGGACATTTCCAGTCTGCCTGGTGCATGGCAACAAGAGACAGGAGCACTGAGGGGAAATCAGCTGTGTGTGCTCTGGAAAACACCTCCCTTGTGCAGGCCCTGAGATCCATCCTCCTGGGCCCTGCAGATCCATTCTCTCAGGCCCTGCAGATCTATTCTCTCAGGCCCTGCAGACCCATTCTCCCGGGCCCTGCAGATCCATTCTCTCAGGCCCTGCAGATCCATTCTCCCAGGCCCTGCAGATCCATTCTCTCAGGCCATGCAGATCCATTCTCCATTCTCCCAGGCTCTGCAGCTCCATTCTCCTAGGCCCTGAGATACATCCTCCCAGGCCCTGAGATCCACTCTCCCAGCCCTGCAGATCCATTCTCCAGGCCCTGCAGATCTATTCTCTCAGGCCCTGCAGATCCATCCTCCCAGGTTCTGCAGATCCATTCTCCCAGGTTCTGCAAATCCATTCTTTCTCCCAGGCTCTGAGATTCGTTCTCCCAGGCCCTGAGATCCATTCTTCCAGGCCCTCTCTGCAGATCCATTCTCCCAGGCCCTGCAGATCCATTCTCCCAGATTCTGCAGCTCCATTCTCCAGACCCTGCAGATCCATTCTCCCAGGCCCTGCAGATCCATTCTCCAAGGCCCTTCCTGCAGATCCATCCAGGCCCTGCAGCTCCATTCTCCCAAGCCCTGCAGATCCATTCTCCCGGGCCCTGCAGACGCATCCTCGCAGTTTTGCGGCAGGCAGAGGCAGGGCCGGAGCTCAGCCCAGCCCCTGCCCCGCTCTGCCCGTCCCTGCAGCTGGCAGCGCCCAGGGCGGCGGTGCCAGGGCACTCCCTGCTTCCCACAGCACTGCCTGTCCCGGCAGCTCCCGGCCCCGCTCCAGCCCGATCCCGGCACCTCCCGGTGCGGCACCGCCGGGGCCCGGCCTGAGTCAGCGCGCGGCCCGGCCCGGCCCAGCTCGGCCCCGGCATCCCGCTCTGAGCGTGCTGCTGCTGCCGGGCTCGGGAGAGGCAGAGCAGGAGCAGGAGCAGGAGCAGGGTGCTGCACTCCGTGGGACATGCCAGAGCAGAGCAGGGTGCTGCAGTCCCCAGGACACCCGGCCGCGCAAGAGCAGGGTGCTGCAGTCCCTGGGATATGGCAGAACAGCCTGTGGTACTCACTGAGGGTCCCGGGGTGCTGCAAAGGCCCCAGGTGTTGCACTGACAGGGGTGGCTGCCGTGCCTCGGGAGGTTGTGCCAGGGTTGGCTGGAGCTGCCTTGGGGTCTGTGCTGGTGCTGGGGGGCAGCTCTGCCCCCAACCCCTCTCCAGGGACTGCAGCTCCTCCCGAAGGCAGCTCTGATCTCTGCTGTCTGTGGGCAGCCACCGGAGCCGAGGGAAGGCTCAGGCTGAATCTCAGGAAAGGCTCTTCCCCAGAGGGTGCTGGCACTGCCCAGGCTCCCCAGGGAATGGGCACAGCCCCGAGGCTGCCAGAGCTCCAGGAGTGTTTGGGCAGCGCTGCCAGGGATGCCATTGTTGGGGTTTCTGTGCAGGACAGGGGCTGGACTGGATGATCCTTGTGGGTCCCTTCCAGCTCAGGACATGCCAGGACTCTGTGCTGTGCTGCTGTCCCCACCTGCCAGTGGAGCACATGGTGAGTCTGGGGTAGCACAGCAGAGCAGGGCTGAGCCTGGGTGAGGGATCCCAGGAGCAGCCTGGGGAGGGTCATGCAGAGCGTTCACAGCCTGGAAGTGCTTCATTGTGGAGATCAGATCTGAGCAGCCTGGCCTGTGAAGGTGTCCCTGCCCATGGTAGGGGGTAGAACAGGGTGAGCTCTGAGATCCCTTCCAGCCCAAAGCATTCAGGGATTCTGTGTTTGCAGGGCTCTGCTGTCCTCCATCTCTGCTGTGTGCTCTCACTGTCCCCGTGGGCAGCAGCACCTCTGGCTGGCACATCAAGGCACTGCCCTGGTGCCAGGGGTAGGAGCTGTGCCCTTCCCTAGCAGGGCACCTGCCCAGGAGCTGTGAGGTGAAACCTTCCCTGACAGACTGCAGAGGAGCAGCATCTGCCACAGGACGTGGACTTGGGGTCATGGAATTCCCTGCCTTGGAAGGGACCCGAGGATCACCCAGTCCAGCTCCATGCTGTGGCCCTTTGAGGAGCCCCTTGTGCAGCACCTCTCTGGAGCTCATGGGAGCCATGTCAGCCTGGGCACGGCGGTCAGGCTGTGTCCCAGGGAGCCTGAGCAGGGCAGGCAGCCAGGAGCTGCTCAGTGACACTGCAGAGTGCAGTGTGTGTGTGCTGTGTGCACTGCAGGGCTCCTGTGGCTCTGCCCTCCCCAGGGTGGTGCCAATGTCCTGGCAGGAGCTCAAAGCTCCAGAGGCTGCTGCCAGCCCAGCGTCCAAATCCTTCTCCACAGTGTCCAGCACAGGTGTCCCAGCCCTGCTGAAGAGCCCAGCCTGCAGCAGACTCGTGCCAGGGCTCACAGCAGCTCATGACACCCATGCCAGGGCAATCCCTGGTGCCACTGTCCCTATGGGGTGGCATGGATGTGAGGGAGGATGCATGTGGTACTGAGAAGGTGCTGATAAATGCTGGGGCAGTGTTTGGGGCTGTCCTGGTGCTAAAGCAGTGCTGGGAGTGAGGCAGCCTCGTGCTCTTCTCTGCCTATTCCAGACCTAGAGCAAAGCCACGGTGAAATATTGCAGAGCCTGGTGCTGCCCCTGCATCCACACAGGAACTGCCTGCTCATGGCTTTGGCCAGTTCCCCTTATCCAGGGCTGTTCTGGAGATGTATTTAGATCTCTGGGACATGTTGGGATTGATGTCCTGGGGCCATCTGGCCAATGCATGACCCAGGGAACCAGGGTTGGACAAGTGCCCACAGCATTGCGGGCCAGGATGGGGCTGCAGGGGCTCACAGGCCCTCTGGGACAATGGAGCAGAAGCTCTTGGGGCTGGAATCCAGCCAGGGCCCCGGGGTCTCACCAGAGGGGATGTGGAGCCTCTCACTGGGGCCATCAGCTGGGGCACAGAGTGAGGGATCCCCTCACCCCAGCTCAGAGATGGCAGATGTGGAATGGGGATGCTGGGAGGGCCAGGGGAGGTTTGCTAGGATGGAGCTGCGCCAGGGCAGGGTCAGGCTGGGTATCAGGAAAGGCTCTTCCCCAGAGGGTGCTGGCACTGCCCAGGCTCCCCAGGGAATGGGCACAGCCCCGAGGCTGCCAGAGCTCCAGGAGTGTTTGGGCAGCGCTGCCAGGGATGCCCAGGGTGGGATTGTTGGGGGGGTCTGTGCAGGGCAGGGGCTGGACTGGATGGTCCTGGTGGGTCCTCCCAGCTCAGGACCTTCCACAATTCTGTGATTCTGTGATCCAGTCGCCCCTTCCTGCTCAAGCAGGGAGATGTTGAGTATTGTTTCCCCCTCAGGCCCATCCTGGGTGGGTGGGCTACTCTGCCTCTCCTGCTCCTGGGGAGACCATGAGCCCCATTCCTGCTGCAGGATGGGTCCTGTGGGGCTGGAGAGGGGGAGGGCACTGCAGGATAACCCACCCTGACCCTGTGCCCATGGTGGGCTGGGGCCAGCACAGCCCTCACTGCCCGGGTCAGGGTTTTGGTGCCACCCAGGGTGTGCAGGGCAGCAGGGGGCAGGTGGCACTAGATGCCACCACTGTGGGCAGCCAGCAATGCCCATCCTTTGGAGTGTGCTGTGGAATTCACAGCTTCCAGCACCCTTCTGTTCATGTCCAGGGTGCCTGTGTTGCCCTGATCCACAGTGCCACTGTCCCACATAGGCAATGGGTGCCCAGCCTCCAGCTCTAACCAAGGCCAAATGACAACCAAAAACAGAAAATGGAGAAGTACAACCT